GCAGTAGCATAGGTGCTGGGATGGATTATATGGAAAGCCCAGTGAGTGATGGCACAATTGAGGAGAACTTTGAGGAAGCTTTGGTAGATGCTCCAGTTATTGAATCTGGTGTGTGACCTTTTACCTTCTGTTAGTAGCCAGTAAATGTCATGGCATTCTCGGGGCATAGCAGGTGAATTATGTGTAGAACTTTGTATAGCTTGTTTTTACATTGCATGGCGTAAGGAAATGAAAAAGGAAAGGGAATGTGACAGTTGTTTTGCTTTCTTTTTAATCCATTTTACAACAATAACATTATGTACAATAATCGTAACATTTGAAATGAGTAAATCTTTTGACGTGAAATATACCTTTTTTTTCTAATAAAACAAGATTGCTCCGAGGATTCGAATTGTTCTTGTTAAATAAAATTTTTAGTTGATACAAATTTGTTGCGAGAATTCACGCTTATGACATGAATAACTTGATATCACAACAAATCTGTCTGTTTTAACGAATAGCGGACGATCTGGCTGCTTTAGATGGAGAGCTCGCCGATGAGGAAGATTATCTTGACATATCCAGACATGGTATCGTAGAGGTAGTCGGCGACGATAGTGCCGGTCGTAAAATAATTGTTGTGTCAGCTTGCAAATTGCCCCCTATTGGAAAAGAAACCTTTAATCATGCTAAACTTCTCAGGTGAGTTTGCGATATATCTATATCATAAAAATGATACACGAGACATTTATTCCATCGCAAACAATGTGTCTTGCAATTGCCTGTAAATTATTTAAAAATCCTACATCATTTTCAACAGTTGTGCCAAGTTTTTATCTATTTTCACGGTACTATCTTTTCATTTTTTTTTTTTAAATAAAATGAAACAAAATAAACTTCTTTCTTATAGGTACCTTACTCATACTTTGGATATGTTCGTGGAACAAGATTATAGTCTCGTCTACTTTCATTATGGCCTTACGTCGAAGAATAAGCCACCCTTATCTTGGTTGTGGCAAGCGTATAAGGCGTTTGATAGAAAATACAAGAAGAATCTCAAAGCTCTGTATCTAGTACATCCGACTAATTTTATTAGGATTGTATGGCAAATATTTAAACCAGCTATTAGGTATATGTAAAATCTTTTCTAAATGAAACAGTTGGATACTCCTTTCTCGAGTATTTACACACATACATATATATATATATATATA